GGGGGGGGGTACTATTATGAGCTCTATTTTACAATATGTGTATATACACAACATGTATGCTACCGCTCCACACCAGACGCCCTCTCCTCCCCAAAAGGAGGGTCCTTGCCTGGACCAGCCATTTCATCAATCACCCTTTCAGGTTGATTACAACTCCACATTTGCTGCCTGGCCCTCTGGGGACAATGATGATTTGCCTGAGCTTACTCTTCAATGATTAGCCTCCACCCACCTGATCATACCCTCCCCATCTCAGTGATTCTGAACCCACAGTTGTGATTGTACAACCCCTATTCCCTACTACCCAATGTCCCTTCCCTTGCTTTTATATCCCTTAACACCTCACCCCAACACCACTCAAGACCTACTCACTGTGGAATACCTCCTCCATATATAATAAATTTACTTTCATCTTAAAATTTCACCTCTCTCATTCTTTCCATCTTCTTGGACTCACTGAGCCCTGGCTCTGTCCTGATGACACAGCTTCCCTGGCCACACTTTTAAGCACTGGTTGCAATTTCATTCTTAATGCCAGACTCACTGGGTCATTGCAGGTAAGTCATCATTCTCTTTGATCCCCATTGCCCCTTCTACCAGCACCATCACTCAGTAACCTCCCCTCTAAAGTTCACTCAATCTGTATTTACCACTTAATCAAGATTCTGTGGATTATTGTTTAATCTCAAGGATACTCTCTTTCCTTCCTAAAAGAGTTACACAATGCCTGGCTCACAGTCTTTCTCTCCTCCTCAATTCCTGCCTTCACACTAGAGGACGTTGACATACATGTTGACATACAAACACTCAAACTTCCATTTCTTCAACTTATTCATTTCCCATGACCTACTTCCCCACTGCAGCTCAGTTACTCGCAGAGATGGTCGTACGTGTAATGTCATCACCACAAGTATTCCATTTCTATGTTCATAAACTGAAATGCCTTTATCTAATCATAGTCTTTTATCATTCCATCTCTACTTCTATCATACAACTACTGTTTTTCATCCTTCCCACAACCTCAAATCCTTCCACCACTCAGTTCTTTCCCAGGCCATCACCCCTTCACTGGTTACACTCTTCTCCCTTCCCCATCTTGGCCCCTTGGTAAACCAATTCAATTAACACCATCCTCTTCTCTCTAATCATTTGCCCCCTTTATCCTAGAGCTGATCTTGCCTGGCCAAGGTCCAGCCTTGGATTTTTTCTGCCATCTACTGCCTTTGATTTTATTAATCTGGAGCTGAACAAAACTGGAAAAAAGCACATAACTGTGATGACCGGTTCCACTACAAATTAATGTTAAATAATCTCAACTGGGCCCTCACTGTAGCAAGGAATCCTTTTATATCTCCCTAATCAATTCACTATCTTTGTCAAAACAACCGCTTTTCCAAACCTTTTCACCCCTTCTCAAATGTCTCATGGCTACACTCCACTCTCAGTTGAGAATGTTACTCTTATTTCACTGAAAAAAAATTGAAGCCATTCACCATAAACTCCCCTTTTTCCTTTGATCTTCATTTAACATCACTCAGATTCCTTCTTCCATAATCTCTTCCTTTACCCACATCCCATGAAGAGATATAGCCTTTCTTCTTGCCAAGACAAAACCCTCTACACGCTATCATATTGTATCCCATCTTCACCAGCAGATTGCCCCTTCTATTATCTTTACTCTCTAGCTAATCTTCAATTATTATCTCTATGCAAATAATTCCCAGATTTATATCATGAGGTCTAGTCTTGCATGTCCTTTCCATGCCTTTTGGAGATCTCAAAGTGGATGTCCCATCGACATCTCAAACTCAACATACTCATGTTTTTTCCCAAAACCTTCCTCTTCCTAACTTCCCCATTACTGCTGAGGGCACCGCCAGACTCCCAGTCACCCAAACTCATCACAACCTAGCAGTCAGCCTCAACTCCTCACTTTCTTTCACTCCTCTTCTCCCCCACTACATCCAATCTGTTGCCAAGTCCTGTTGATTGTACCTTTGTAACATTTTTCATATAAGCCCCCTTTCTTTGACACTTCTACCACCCTGCTGCAAGCCCTCATCATCTTGAACCTGGACTAATGCAATAGCCTGCTGGTTGGTCACTATAGCTCAAATCTCCCCTCTCTAGTTCATCCTCAAAATCACAGCTATCAAACTGGTCTTCCTAAAGCACAAGTCTGATCACATCACAAATATCCTCCCCATTCAATAAACTCCAATGGCTTCCTACTACCTTCAGGATCAACTATAAAATCCTCTGTTTGGCTTTTAAAGCCCTTTATAACTTGAACCCCTCCCGCCTTTCCAGTTTTCTCATACCTTACTCCCTTCCACGTACTCTACAATCCAGTGACACCAGCCTCCGTGCTGTTCCTCACCCATGACACTCAACCCCTGTGACCTTTCACTGGCTGTTTCCCATGCCTGGAATGCTAATCCTCCTGGTCTCTGCCTCCTGGACTCTCTGGCTTCCTTTGAAGTCTCAGCTAAAATCCTACCTTCTGCAAGAAGCCTTTCCCAATCCTCTCAATGCCAGTGCCTTCCTTCTGAAACCAGCTTCAATTTATCTGGTACAGATATATATATAGGATAAACTGGTGCTAATCTCAGAGGTATGTTTGTGCATAGTTGTTTGCATGTTGTCTTCCTGATTAGAATGTGAGCTCCTTGAGGGCAGAAACTATGTATTTGCCTTCCTTTGTATCTTCAGCACAGTACCTGGCATGTAGTAGGTGTTTAACAAATGTTCATTGACTTGACATATATGTATAAGTAATATATGCTATTATTATCAAAGTTCAAATAGTATAGTATGATTACAGATGTGATGAAACCTGTGACTCTAGACAAGTCACTTCTCTTTGGGCCTCAATTTCCACATATGTAAAAATGTTGGACTAGATGATGTCTAAGGCCTTTCCAGTTCTAAATCTATAATGTAACAATATCAGTAACCCAGAGTAGCTCTACTACTCTCCCAAATGTTTGGTCAGAGTTGGAAAGGAGAGCAATTCCAACAACTAGCAATAGGGGGCAACAGCAGATCACATACGTGCAAACACTAACAAGTCAAAGTGAAAAATTGTTCTTGGACCGAGGATCAAAAATCTAGTGCTGAAGGGGCTGTAGAGGTCATATGGCCGCCACCACCACCCCATCTGACAGTTAGAGTCTATGGCCCAAAGAGGTTAAATAACTTTCTCCAGGTCACACAGGTAGTAAACATCTGGGGTGAGGAAAGAAAGGAAGAAAGAGACAGAGGTGGAGAGAGAGAGACAGAGACAGGGAAAGAGCTGGGAGAGGGAAAGAGAGATAGATGAGAGAGGAAAAAAGGGAGAGAGGGAGAGGAGGAAAGGAAAATACAGAAGAGAAAGGGAAAGAATGGGGGAGGGAAAGGAAGGGGGAGAGACAGAGAGAAAGAGAGAGAAAAGAAGAAGGAGGAGGAGGAGGAGGAGAAAGGGATGGAGGGAGGGGGAGAGAGAGGAGGAAAGAGCGAAAGAGAGGGAGAGGGATGAAGCGAAAGAGGGGGGAGAAAGGGAGAGAAACAGAGAAAGAGAGAGGAGGAGGAGGAGAGAGGGAGAAGGTCAGAGGGGGAGGAAGGAGGGAAGGAGGGAAAGAGGAGGGATGGAGGGAGGGAGGGAGACACAGAGAGAGAATTAGGCCAGACTTCCTCCCAACCCCTATGCCTAAAGAAGTTTACTCCACCCCTAGAAACTATCTTACTAAGGAGAAAGGCGAGGGAATATGAACTGGAAGGAGTGAAAGAAGAAGGAAGGAAGAAAGATGAGAGATGGAAGGAGAAGAGAAGGTGAAAGAATAACCAGGAGAAGGAAGGAGTCTAGGGAAGAAGGGAGAAAGGGGACAGGACCATAGTATCCAAGATCAAGAACCAGAATGGACTTTAGAGGCCATTGAATACAACCCCTTATTTGAAATGAGGACAACGAAACCCAGAGAGGAGTCACGTAAATGACTTGCCCAGAATCACACATTCAGTAAGTATCTAAGGTAGGATTAGACCCAGATCTTCCTGACTCCAAGGCCAGCACTCTATCCACGAGGATGGGAGGCAAAACAGAGCATACCTTGGGTGTCATGTCATGGGTGATACAAAACTCCAGGTGCTGCAGGATGCTCTCCATGGTGTGGTAGGGCTGCTGCTTGGTAGTGCGAAGATACTTCTGCATGGCTCGTGCCATGGAGGCAAAAATGGCTTGGGCTGCCTCTCTTGGATCCATCACCTCCCTCGGGTTCTTTTGTTCCTCTTCCTGTAGCCTTTTGATGTGTGTGAAGGCCTCTTCCACTGCTACCACCAGTCTGATTGGGGAGGGAAGGCAGGTTGTGAGTGAGTTGTGAGTGAGACTTCATGGTCTCAGGGAAGAGAAGAAGGGAAGGGGAGGGAAAGCAGTTCAAAGACCACTCACGTCCCAAAGCCTTTTCGACTTCCTATCATTAACGAAGCCTGAGCCTTGCCAGACTTCTGCAAAAATGGGTGATTCTGTCTCTCCCAATCCTTTCCAGGGAGAACTCTCTGAATGACAGGATATCACACCTTCCCTTACAACTCAGGAAATTACTTTCTGACATTTCAGAAACCCTTAAACTCCACCACTACTACCTGTAGCAGCTTATAGCTATTCTCCATGGAAAGCAAGAACAGCTACTATCAATAATAATACCACCACATATTTACACAGTTCTTTCTGGTTTACAAAGCATTTTGATCACAGCCCCGTAAGTATGACAGTACAAGAATTTTTATTCCCATTTTTACAGTGGAAGAAAATGAGGTTAAGTGATTTACATGGTCATACAACTAAGTGACAGAGCCAGGACTAGGACTCCAGGTCTTCAGGTCTTCTAATCTTTCAACTACACCATTCTATCTACACCTAGACTTCTCAAAACTCACAATGAGAACCAGCTCTTTAAACAACTTCCTACCCCACTTTCTTTAGGAAGAAGTTACTCCTGAGACTGATTTTGCATTATTCTTACCCTCTATCATGCCCCGAATTTTTCTCTTAATCATCTTCCTTTCATATCTCCCCTCTTCTAAGTGTTGTACAAGTTTATAGGTTTTTTTTTTTAATTAGGGTGAATTAAAATAATTTTCTTTTGAGACTATGACACCATGACCATACTCCACCACTACCAATAACACCCTGGACAAGCACAAAACAAGGATTTGGTATCAGGGTTGTACAGCAGGGGAGCAGCCACTTTTCCATTTACCCAAAGCCTTGAGAAAATTGGAGTATGGGATATAAAAGAGTTTGACAATGAAATCTCTGAGAAAAAGTATGAATGTAGGCAAGTCTGTTAAACTCAATTTCCTCATCTATAAAATGAAGTAATTGAATTATATGCTCTCTAAGGTCCATCCAGCTCCGTCATTTTATGACCCTACAAGCAGAGGATGGGACACTGCCGAAAGCTATGTTCTCCTTCCTATGAAGATGCTAGTAAACCCAAGACAGGGAGGGTATGGTGGAGAGGTGTCCCAAACACAGACAACTGTGACCAGCTCTAAGTTCCACTAGGCAGCTCAGTGGATAGAGCATTGAGTCAAGAAGATCTCAAGTCAAGTTCAGCCTCAGATATTTACTAGCTGTATGACTCTAGTCAAGTCATTCAACCTCTGTCTGCCTCAGTTTCATCAAATGTGAAATGGGGGTAATAACAGCACTACCTCCCAGGGTTGTTGTGGGACTCATATGAGATATTTGTAAAACACTTAGCACAGTGCCTAAGCAAGTAAGAGTAGCTAAGGCTTTGAGGGCCACTATTAGTGTCAAAGCTAATGATTCAGGACCCTAGTTCTTGTCCCTAGATCTAGTCTAGCCTCCACTCCTAATGCTACAGATTTTTACCTATTTTCCCTTCCTGGGGATCAACTCCATTTTTCTTTCCCATGAATACAAACAACTTCTCCCATTGGCCTACTCTTTTCAGAGACCATGAAGCCTTACTCACAACCTTCATCCCCTAGATGGACTGAGTCTCCCTCCCAATTGGGTTCAAAGGATCATCAAAAAATTTAGAGACAAAATGAGACTTAAAGATCATCTAGTCCAACCTAAACAATTTACAAATAAGGAAACTGAGGCCAAAAGAGGACTTCTCCAAAGTCATAAAGGTAGTTTCTATGCAATCTCAGCCCATCCTATTTCAGTCCCCTTTTCCCTCACACATCCCCCTCTTCTTTTGCACAGCACATACCTGGCTCTACGCTTTCGCACCCTCCGCTCATGCTCCGCCTCTTCATAATAATACTCATTGTGGCTGTTGTCCCGCCGCCGAGCTGCTGCTGCAATCACTGCCCGAGACTGCCCAGTGGAGTTGTTAGTGCTATTCTCTGAGAGAGGGCAGGGAGGCAGAGGTTGGGATCAGAATGTGAAGGTGTCCAGGGAGACCTGGGGTTGAGGGTAGCAGCCTGACTATCCACAGTCTTCAGGAGGTACTGTCCCCAACCACCTTTAGAGAGGGCACCCAGGGAACAGCAAGGAAGAAGGGCAAGCACTCCCAAGGAGGTCCATGAGATTTGGAATTGAGATGGCTGAAGGGCTTAGAGGGCCAGGGCTGGTGAGGAGACACAGAGCAGCCAAAGGAGGGGAAACCTGAGAGGGCAGGGGTGGGGGAGGTAGAGGGAAAGAGAAAGAAGTAGGGGAAGGAATCCAAAGGCTGAGACCCTCCACCTGGAGTCAAAGGGAAGGATAGCACAAAAGGGAATGAAGAAAGGGAGTGAGAAGTGAAGGGAGTGAAAGTGGAGGGAGAAGGTAAGAGAGGAAGAGAGAGAAAAAAGAGAGGAGTAGCAAGGGGAGCCCTGACAGGGAAGGGCAGAAAAGTGGAAGATCCTGGCAGCTCACCCTCTCCGAGGGAGTACACCTTGAAGCCGGACACTTTCTTGGCCAGGACGGACTTGGGCAGGTTGAGGAGGGCAGGGTTGTAGACGGGGAAATCATGGTAATACTTCTCCAGGATCCACACGGCCACACGCTGGATGCTGTGGGGGAGATGGGTGGGGGAGGCAGGGAAAGGGAAGGGGAAGGGGGAAGGGAATACGAAGGAGGTAAGGGGAACATTCATGGTCACCTCCACTCCCAGACATAGACAAAGGCGTCCAGAGGGAGGGACACATCAGAGCAGGACGGCAAGACAAGAAAGAACGAAGGATGGGGAGAAGCTGCTTCTGACAAGCCCAGCTTAAGGAAGCCACCCTGAGGTCTCTCCCCCTTGGTCTCCTTCCAGCCTCCAGATCAGAGCCCTTCTCATGGCCTGGCTGTGACAGTCATCGAATCCCACACTTAAGAGTCTATACAAGTGGGACCTTCTATGAGGTCCTTTCATGCCACCAATAGCCTCTACTCATCAATGCCTTTGGAATCTTGCTGGACACAGAAAATTTCCCAGATGAGGGCTGGAAATCAACCACCCTCTCATACTAGATCCTAAGGGACAATGAAATGGGAACCCCCAAGAGCCTAATTAGGGTCCAGGGCCAGGGTCAAGACTCAAGTTGCCAAGTTGCCAGATCTTGAGCAAATGAAGTATCTTTTCCATACATCCTGTCAAAAATACACACATACACACACATACAGACATGGACAAACACACACACAAACACACACAGACCCACACAAATACACATACCCTTTCCCAAGTTAACTCTTAAGTAGTACATAACCAATGAATCACAGCCCTCTATTTTGGCCTCTCCCAATACACCCTTCTTTTCAAAGTAACTTCCCTCTGCCCTGTACAGCTCCATTAATTTCGCACTCACTGAGTAACCAGACAGGATATGTTCTTGTGATAGTCACAACTCAGGGAAATGTAAAAAGTACCCAAGAAAGCCACCGGTGCTGGCCCATACCCTTCTCCTACATAGAACTCCTCCCATCCCTTCCATTTTATCTTACCTCCAATATTCCGTTTCCTCTACAAACTTTGTACCAGTTCTCTTATCCAAGTTCCTCAGCCCCACCATACACTGGCCTTGATCACCCCCTCAGCCCCACCAGAGCCCCCATCCCCAACATATTTGTCCCTCAGCACTTCCAGTTATCCTCCGTGCCCTATCAACTATTATCTATCGAGTGTGGCACTATACCCCAGTTCGCCCAGGTAACTCTCAGGTCCCCAGCACCCCAACATTCTTCCTACCCCTTTACCCACCCAACCCAAACCCCCACCCACTTATCTCCTATATGCTCCAAAATCCATTCCTGTGCTAATATTCTCTCCCTGCCCTTCTATAGTCATAGTTCTAACCTAGTCAATCTCCCATTCCCTCTCCTACGCCATCTCAATGCCCTTAATCTCCTTCATGCTCTCCCCTACACACACCCAAGCACATATACACACATGCACACATGCACATGTGTACACACCCACACACACACACACACACACACACACACACACTGTACCTGAGGTGGCCAACATTGTAGAAGCGACTGGCCCCATCGGTGGAACGCACAACTTTGAGGGTGAACTGAGGCTGCAGCTGGCGCAACTCCAGCAGGACCACGGCAAGGTAGTGCACAAAAAGCAAGGCATCTACCAGGGAAACAGCAAACTGCACCACACCCTGGTAGCTGCGCTCCCTCGCCTCCAAAATCCTAACCCCATAGAAGAGCCAGTAGGAGACCACGAGCAGAAAGACGAGCACCATGAGCAAGGCGCGCAGCACAAAGACGCGGGGCAGTGAGGCCTTGGGCCGGCGGAAGAACAGGGCCCAGCTGCCCAGCAGCAGGATGAGCAGCTTGAAGGCCACTGAGATGAAGAGTCCCTCGCAGGCCGCCCCGCATGGCTCCAGCTCGTCCCGCCACAGCAGCGGGGGCAGCAGAAGGAAGGCCAGCGGGGTGAGGAAGGAGAGCAGCGCCAGGGTAGCCCCAGCCACTACACCCAGGTGACGTGAGCAGTCCAGAGGGACGCTGTCCTCCATGTCCTTGGCAATGCGTGTGAGGTCATCGTGGGAGATGCTGTGTTCTGATGTGCCTGTCACCACCGTTGTTGTCTCACCCCAGTTATCATCCTTTGAGGGAATGTGGAGAAGAACAAAAGGCACAATGTTGGGGAAGGTGAGGGAAACGGGGAAGGAAAAGGAAGAAGAAGAGAGGTGAAGACAGGGGAAAGGGGGAGAAAGGATGATGGAAAAGGAGAAGGCAGAAAGGGGAGAGGATGGTAAACAACAAGTGTTCTGTTAATAAGTATTTATCAAGCACCTGCTGGTACCCAACACTCTATCAGGCTCTGGGTTCAAAGAAATACAGAACAGCTTCTGTCCTCAAAGAACTTACGATCAAGAGGAGAAGACAAAAATCACAAGCCCATCAACTGGGGAAGTGGCTAAAAAATTATGTTATATGAACGTAATGAAATACAACTGAGCCATACAAAATCATAAATATGATGCACTTAGCACTGGCACATAGAAGGCATTTAATAAATGTTGACTGATTGGTTGATTGACTGGATCCAGAAAACCTGGATAATCATATATGAACTCATTAGAAAGGAAAATAAGCATAAGCAGAACAATCCACATGATGGCCATAATAATATAAAGAAAAATGGCTCCAAATGGCTACAGAAGATGGATGATGAAATATGAATCTTGCTCTTTGGTAGAGGTACAGAATGAGACATGCATTTTTCAGACATGACTAAGGTACTGAATTATTTTGCGTGATTATACTTATTTGTTATAAGTGAGAGATTCTATTGGAGGGGTTAACAAGTTATTTAAAAAGAGCATCAATGAAACATTTTAAAAGTACACAGAAGAAGAAATTTTTTAAAATTTAAAAAGGGACAAACAGGACAACTTTGTTGTTAGTACTGTGTTAAATTTAATATATAATGTAAAAAAAACCTATGTATTATAGAAGTTTGTGGTTTCAATCCCACCCTCTTTTTTTGTTCCTTTTTCCCCTGAATATTTGATTTGTTGATTAAGTTAATAATAATTAATATTTTCAAAAGATAGTAACATATTTTGATAGTTTTATTGAGCACTTTCCCTGCCACCGTCCAGTGAAGTCAGCAATACAAATATCATTATCCTCATTTTGCATATGAGGAAACTGAACCTCAGGGAAGCAAAGTTACTTTCTCATGGTCACAGAGCTAATAGGTGGCAATAGATGGTAAATCCAGGACTGTTCACCACACTGCTGACCTGAAAAAAACACAGCCACATACAAAAATAAATGACATCCATGGCAGTCAGTGCCAAGCTCCAAAAGAACAGTAAAGACCACAAGTACTATAGAGCTCGGAAAAGGGACAGATTGCTATGAGCGTCCTGGTTGAGGTAGCACCTAAACTGAGCTTTGAGGAATTGGAGGTAAAGTCAGAAGGATGACATTCCAGGTGGATGAAACTTTGAAAGGAACAGCAAAGAGACACAAAAGAACATGGCACAGGGTGTAGATCAATCTGGAGTTTTAAAACAGATTTGAAACAGAATGTAAAGGACCCTGAATATCAGGCTAAAGAAGCCAAATCCAAAACCAGGGCTCTTCTCATTACTCTGAACTCCTGACCTGACAAAACACAAATAGACATAAAAAAAAAAAAACTAACAAACCTATAGGCAGGGGGAGCCATTGCAGGTTTAAGGGCAGGGGAGTGACTGCAAAAGCAATATTTTTGGAAGATTAATCTGATTGGAGGGGAGGAGGGGAAGGGAGACACAAGATGGATTGAGAGGACAGAAATTGCCCAGTGTTGAGTCAGAGAGACCAGTTGGGAAGTTATGACATTAGTCCCAGAATAAGGTGATAAAAAAGAGTCAGTAACAGCCTGAATGGAAAAGAATGGACAGAGGGATATGAAGAAGGAAAGGGCTATGGTATTTGGTGACTAATTAAAAGTTAAGGTCAAATGAATCGTGTTTAGGTAAAGGTTGTTCTATGATTCTTCCAACTCTGAAATCTTATGATTCTATCAAAAAGTAAAAAGATAATTCCACTCCTGCAAAAGCAGCAGGATGTTGATATGTGATGGGGCAGCGAGGAGTGGGGTGTAGAGTAGAGGAGTGTAGAGGTGGAAAGATCACTGGGTACAGAGCATGAAGACCTGGGTTCAAACCTCACTCTTGGTATTTACTATCTCTGTGACTTTGGGAAAAATCCCTTAACCTCCCTGAACCTCAGTCTCAAAGCCTCCTTTGGAAGAGGAATTAGAAGCATAAGATCCCCCACAGGAATGGAAGGGACAAAATGCATCAATTTCATAGCTACCTTCTCCATTCTCAGGACACAGAAACATTAGGTATTTGCATGTCCTCACACACCCACCTCTAATCCATGAGGCCAGCAGGCCAAAAGGCCATGTAGTCATCATTAAATAGACTCCCCAAGAACTTTAGTCTTTACCTTCCAGCCTCATCCACCGATTTTCTGGCCCTCTTCTTCCTACTTCCTTCATCTGCTCCCAGCACCATAGAACTCAAGAACCATATCAAAGTGTCATTCTACAAAATGCCAGCAGAGGGCATCAGATTTCCCCCCACCCCACCCCCCGGTCCATGGGAGTTTCTTAGCCTAGCAGTGCTGGAAAATGGGGCAGGTCCCCACTGCAATGCCCAGCCAGGACCCATTCTTTTGAGGTCCCCAATGAAAAAGGGAAGTAGTGCAAGGCAGGGGGAAAAAAACCAACCCAAAAGCACTGGATTGGAAGTCAAAATACCTGGGTTTGACTCTTTGCTCTCCTCCTCAACCAAGACTCAAGCTTTCTGAGCCTCAGTTTCCTCATGTATAAAACAAATAGGCTGGATTAGATTACTCCTAATGACCCATATAGTTCTAAATCCTAAATTGATGGCTTTTATTGCTATAGAAATTTCTTCCACCTACCCTAGCTTGGGACTCTGAGATGGAACATTGATTTGCCACCTTAAGGTTTGCAGAGCATTTTTCTTACAACATTTCCATGAATTGGGGTTAACCCTAAATGCAAGTATCACCGCTTTACAAATAAGGATCAGAGACAGAGAGACTGTAACTTACCCAAGGCCACCCAGAAAGAAATAGTAGATCCCTAAAGGACCTCCCTTCTTATCCTGCCTACCTACTGATTCCAAACAACCTGAGCCTCAGGAGACTTAGGTCCCAGTTCTTACCAATTATGTACGACCCTGGGACAAATCTAGAGAGACACAGAGAATATAAAGATATTGGAGGCAGAATCTTAGGGACAGAAACCCAGATGAAATATAGAAATGATGGGGGAACACTGAGGGGTAGAAAACTGGGGAGAGTCATGAGTAGAAAGAGCTGGAGAGGAGGGTAAGATATGTAGGGAAGTACACAGAGAGACAGGGAGACAGACATAGATGGGGAGAGAGGGATGGCTAGCCCGTGGTACTTAACAGAGTACGCGGATATCTGAGTTTATCTATGTATGTCTGAGTTTCTATTTACATGAATTTGGAAATGTATGCCTGAAAGTTCATATGTATATCCAGGCATTTGTGTGAGGTCACTGACAAACTGGAGTATCCATAAGGTTATGAGTAGCATTTGTGCCTGAGTAGATTATGTCCCAGCGTCTGTGAGCAGATACCAAAGTGCCACCTCCTACATGAGACCTGTCACAATCCCCCGATTGCTAGTGCCCTACCCCCCAAAATGACTTCATAATTGTTATGTATGACTTCATAGGATCACAGATTTATAGCTAGAAAAAACCTTAAGTGGCCATCCTCCGCCTCATTTTATAGATGTGGAAACTGAGGCTCAGAGAATGCCCAGGATCACACAGCTAGAGGCACCTGAGGCAAGATGTGAAAACAAGTTTTTCTGATTCCAAGGCCAGGACTCTATCCACTACACCAGAGGTGTCAACTCCCAAGAGGGGGTTGGAACCAGATGAAAATATAATTGGAAAACACATTAATAAATAAATAAATAAATAAATAAAATATAGATAATGTTAATATGTGGTTTTCTAAGTCAATATGCAGCTGGCAGGGATCTTTATGTGCATATTAGCGGCCCCCAACTTGACACCACTGCTCTACACCATTTTGTGGTTGTGGTTCATTTCATGTCCATCTCCTAATGACCCCCTTTGGGGTTTTCTTGGCAAAGGTACTGGAGTGGTTTGCCATTTCCTTCTCCAGCTCATTTTACAGACGAGGAAACTGAGGCAAATAGGGTCAAGTGGCTTG